ACAAATTTATTATTTATAATACCAATTGTAATGCCATGGAATTGATTTGTATTAGGATGAAAACTAACAGTACGTAGTTGTCTAAGCTAAAAAAAAAAAAAAAATTCATTATTAAATTCATATAAATCAAATAAAGAGAGTAGAATCAGAAGAAAATTATCGATGTACAACCTCGTTAACAAATTCTTTAGTTGGTTCATTAGTACCAAAGCACTTCAATGCTAACTTTGTAGTATAGAAGTCAGCTGAACAAATATCACCAAATACACCTTTTACGAATTTAAAATTAGAAAATAAATTCTGATTGTACTAAAAAGAGTGCGTTAAATTACCTTTTTCAATTACTTTGACGTTTTTAAATTCCGAATATTCATAAAAAGCTATAGTACCATCTTTCAAAGCTTCTTCTAACCATTTAGAATACTTTGTGTTTTTTGACAAATTTGAAATAGAATTATATTTCGAGGTCTTTGCACTTGAATTAATATGATCTTAATTAACCAAACAAAACTTGTAATTAGAGTCTAAATATTAGATAATAGGAATAAAAATTATTTCAAGTAAATACCTTCAAGTTTTGGTTCGTAATCAGTATCATTTTTATGCTTTACATTAATCTCATCAGGTTCATTACTTTTTATTAAATTTTCATCAGGTTCACTGGTTTGCTTTGAATTAATTTCATCAGAACTGGTTTGCTCTGAATTAATCACATTAGGTCCATTGATTTTTTTTAAATTCTCATCAGATTCACTGGTTTGCTTTGAATTAACTTCATCAAAATTGGTTTGTTCTGAATTAATCACATCAGGTTCATTGATTTTTATTAAATTCTCAACAGGTTCACTGGTTTGCTTTGAATTAACTTCATCAGAATTGGTTTGTTCTGAATTAATCACATCAGATTCATTGATTTTTATTAAATTCTCATCAGGTTCACTGGTTTGCTTTGAATTAATCTCATCAGATTTACTGCTTTGAAATTGACCTAAATCAGATATAAAAATTTTACATCTTATTAAACTTATTAACTGCATTTAGTAAAAGAAATCAGGTCCGCAAAAGCATTAATTTACCTATATCAATGTTATTTATAATAAAGTCTACAGTTTCTGTTGATAATTTATCGAGTTCGTCTAAAATTTCATCAGAAAATGGGCGCTGATCTGGTTCAGTAGACCAGCATTTCTTGTATAGATTAGAATAGCTTAAGGGTGTATTTTCAATGGTTTTCTCCCTGTATCCGTTTATAACTTTCCAAGAAATTTGATATTGGCTAAGATTATTATACGGTGGAATTCCGTTTGTTAGCTCCCAGAATAGTATACCCAGACTATAAATATCTAATTTTTCATCAAACTTGACTGCATTTTCTCCACTTTTAACAGAAAATAATTCTGGCGCAAGGTATGCTACTATGCCATTTGCACGAGTGCTTGAAGCGGTGTCAGATGTAGCATCTAAAATTTTTGATAATCCAAAATCAGTGATCAGTGCCCTACCGTTATTTATCAAAATATTCATAGAATGCTAATAAAATTCAAGAACATTGTTAATTCAAGTTTAGGCGGAAATTAGAGTATTTAAAATGTATCTTACTAAATCTCTGTGAATAATATTTTTATTATGTAAATGGTTTAACCCAAGCGTAATTTCCTTTGCAATCCGGATGAGATCAACCCACAAAATTTTATAAAAACCATCTTTTTGTTTACTCTTCAAATAATCTCGTAAGTTCCCATCAGTGGCATATTGCAACACTAATATAAAATTACCCGTTTTATCATCTAAAATTTTGTTTGGAATGTAAAGCTTAGTACTAAAACAAGTTTGGATTTTTTACTAAGACGATATGCTCTCTAGAGTAGAGATTTTATTTTGACTTATCACTGTTTGCAAAAAGGCATGACCCAAAGCAGGTCACGATGTCATAGGAAATCTATGAATCCCCGTTTGTTCTTAGATTTCTTAGTGCACTAGCACTAAGAAAAATTGAGGGAATTTGTAAATTCCCTATGACATCGTGACCTTTTTGCAAACAACGATAAAATATTTGGTTAATTAAAATTCAATTGTGAAAATCTTACTTCTAGAGATTCCATGGAATTTTATGATATTAGAATGATCAACCTTATAAAGGCATTCAAGCTGTAATTACAAAATATTGTGAATTTCGATTCTGAATATTTAACAAAATTAAATATATTACCTCATATTTAACAAAATTAAGTACATTACCTCACGTTTGAAAACTTTGAACTCTTTTTCTTCGAAACTCAAGTTAATGTCTAGACTTTTTAATGCATACATCTGTCCTTCAAAACTGGCAGAATATACAACTGCATAACCTCCTTTACCAATACGTTTAATGTCACTACATTGTGAATATTCAAAATTTTTTATATTATATTTTTTTAAATAAGTCTCTAATTGTTCTGAATATTCTGATGCTTATGTCACATAAAACATTTAGTGTGTTAATACTTTATAAGGTTATCATTATGAATTAAATTTTATAAGCCGATGCTTACTTGACATTACAATGGATTAATATTTAATAATATTAAGGCATTTCTTTTTTTCGGTATACAGTATTTAATTCAATGATACATAGAAATTCGAATACAGCATAAAGTTAGCCAATAAATTTGTAGGTGTGTAAATCAATTTCGTGTAACGAAAATAAAGATTTTTTTTAAAAAAAAGCTCATCGCTTATGAAACCACCTTCGATGTTCTAACAAAAAAAAAATTCTTTACTCAATTTTGCATATACTAGTGCCCAGATAAAATCCCAGGCCTCACCCTAACCTTAAAGTAAATGAAATGGGATTTTTTGTTTTTATAAAAAATTAAGGAATAGTCCGCAGTTAAAGGGTATACATTTCGCAGTGAAACCGGGTACAGCGGCGAGTCAGTCGTTTGATAATCCAAATCTTTGCGTAACCTATGGTGGAAAGAGGCGTGTTAGGTTTGGCGAGTTGGTTAGTTCCGTAGGTAGGTCTTTCTCCTATATGAGTAACTCTAGGCTTTCTTTAACCTCAGCTATACCACACTACTTCGGGTAAGCTGGACAAATAAACCAGTTGTACCAGGTACTTTAGGATAACAACTAGACGGGGTATCGAATTTAGCGAGGGGTCACGTGAACATGGTTTAGAGATAGAAACAAAGTTTATCACTATGCCACTTAGTAACAAACTGGAGTTAGGGTAGTTTAACGAATTTATTATTTATTGATGAACAATTATTATATGTAAGGAGTTAAGTAATTATTTTAATAAAGCAGAGTTAGGAGGTGTATTTCCTCTAGGGCCTTCACGGCAGGGCTGAAAATGCCTATTGAAATAGTGGCCATTTACTGCGCCATTATCCATTGTTTGAAGTATCTTTTTTGATGCTTCAAAATTAGTATTTAAATTACTATCGCTATAACAATTACTGTAAATAGCGAATAGAAATTTCAGATTTTACTACTGTTCTTATGTTGTTAAAAATTTACGTTAAAGTACTAAACATATGTTAATTTTCTTTGAGTTAAATTATATTAAAATAATGTCTTAATATGCCAACTAATAGAAACTTTCAGGCAAGTTGGAAAAATGAATATCCATGGCTAGAATACGATATTTTAAATGATCAAATGTTTTGCACATTATGTCGTAGTTATAATAAAAAAAATACTTTCACAAAAGGTAAGAGATTTGTATATATAATTTAATAGTTTTTTTTTATTAAATATTTTAATTAGAAACTATGAATTTTAAGCTATATGTTATAAAAAAACATGCTGAATCTAAAGATCATGCTGATTCATACAAACAGAATGAAATTATAAAAGTTCCATGTGGTCATGTTTTAAGCTTAATGAAAATTGTTTATTGCATAGTCAGAAATGATATGGCATTAAATAAGTTTGAAAAAACTGGCTCATCTTGGTTATGCTATTGAATCTCCAAATTTAATCTCTAAAAATAATTCAATTACATATAAAAACAGAATAAGTGGATGTGAATTACTATCTGCTATATCTAGTTCAATTGAAGAAAATATTTGGAAGGAATTACATCTTGCTACAGCTATTGGGATTATAGTTGATGAAAGTACTGATATTGCAACTGAATCTCATGTTATAATCTATGTTCATATTTCATTAAAGGTGTTATTAAAATATGATTTCTAAGCTTATTACAACTTGAAAATAATAATGCAAAATCTATTTATAATGCTATAATTAAATCATTTATTGCTGAAAATAAGTTTATAATTTAATATTTATTTATAATTTAAAATTAAATTACTAATATTTTAAACAGATTTACAGTATAAGATTTTTTCATTTACATCTGACAGAGCAAGTGTAATGCAAGGAAAAGTTTCTGGTGTTGCAACACAAATAGTCAAGTTAAATCCATATATACTTACTACTAGAGGTGCGATCTGTAAACTAGTAGTTAATATAAATAAACTATAGTTTATTGTAAAACTGTAGTTTTAAAATAAACTACAGTTTATTTATATGTACTGTAATTTACAGTTCATATCTCTACTTACTACACATTGTATTGCACATAGATTGTTTTTAGTCTGTGAATCTGCTGAAAAACATGTAGACTTTTATGCATATATTAAATCATTACTAAAAAAAGTTCATAATTATTTTAGTAATTCTAGTAAGCAAACTCAAATTTTGTTTAAATATTAAGAAGCTTTTAACAAACCTATTTTAAAAATTAAGAAACTTTTTGATATTAGATAGCTTTCTTTTTATGAAGTTATAAATAATTTTTGTATTTTAATAAAGTCTTTACTTGATACATTTTTATATATTATGTTAGACACAAAAAATCAAAATATTCAAAATTCAATTTTTGATATATATTCAAGTCTTTGTGATTGGCAAACTTTAGTTTTTTTCATTTTTTTCAAGATATTTTAGCTGAACTTGCAACACTAAACAAAAAATTTCAAACTAGATTTTATTTTTTTGATATATTTTCTATAATTCAAACTACTATAACTAAATTAGAGAAAAATTATTTAAATATAGATTTTAGTGGTAATCTCAAACTAAGCATAAATCTTAATAAATTTTTATTACTACACCTTCTTAAAAAAATACCAGAATTGGATCACACATATTTACTTAGATAGTAAATCAAGAAAGTAATTTAATTGCTGATATAATATATTTTACATCAGCAATTATTTTAGAGATTCAAGAATAATTTCTATATAATTCTCTTATTAATACAATGAATATTTTTAACTTCTCAGATAGATTAATAACAAATGAAAATTTATTTGAATTTGGAAATGAAAAATTAGAAATATTATTTAATTTTTATAGAAAACTACAACATTCTTTATTTTTATTAGCAATAGTTGATTCTGATAATGCTCGCAAAGAATAGTTTTATTTTAAAATATTTTTTAATAACAATTACTAAGATCTACTAATAGATGAATTACTAATTCTATTATTTTAACATTATATTAACAAATATCCAAATATTATCAAATTATTAGGTATTATATACTTTATTTCTTTTTCTAATATAGAATATGAAAGGGGTTTTTTAAACAAAATTTAATTAAAACTAAATTAGATACTAAATTAAATAATAATATATTACATATGTTAATTATAGTTGGATTAGAAAAAAAGGATTGTTTATTCTTTATCAAATTATTTATTACATTATTTGTGTTCACAAAGAAAAATTATATTATATTTTTTCGTAGGCTTGGATTTATTCTTGCTTGTTCAAGGCATTAATCAATTTTTTTCTTTAGAAAAAGTTTCATATTTTTTTTAACTTTTGCAATACTTGAAATCAATGATTAGAACGATAAGCAAAAAGAAAAATTATATATTACCGTGTTAAAGTTACATTTTAATTTAAACCCGTTGTCATACCCTTTTATTAGGTAAGTACTATGTTCGTGGTAAAATAAACTTGTCTGTGAATTTATTGTCTGTAAATTAAAGCGTCCGCAAAATGAAGCAGTACTAGTATAGGTCTTACAACAATACTGTAATAGCGATACGTAACAAGTAACATGATTTTCAAACAAACTCAAATAAGTGCGTTGTACAACCGAAAAGGTGGTAACGGTAATGGACCCCATGAATCCAATAACAGAAACAAGGCTAACACATGATTTTAATACCTTCCAATTGCAGTTTACTAACTTAAATAAAGTTCGTCGTGAGAAGCGCAATTAGAATCCCACACCAACAATTGTCAACTACAACGGACACCCAACCCACCCCAAAAAAAAAGAATGACCCTGCCATTTTCTTTTTCTTAATTATGACTGCTGATATCATTCATATTAACGGTTGGCCTGCTTTGATATTTGATTGGTCGCTTTTTTTTGTATCTAAAGCAGATGGGAAACCACCGATGATCCTAAATCACAACTAATTAATGTAAAACCGCATTCATCAAATAAAATTCAACCCTGGTATATAACCAAATTATTCCAATTTAATACATTCAAGTAGAGATTTGAATCGATGAATTTCAAGCATTATTTTCAAACATTGATAAAAAATTTAACTGAATATTCGAATGTTTACTGAGTTTTAATTAAAATATTAAAACTATGTATATATAAAAAATTTTTTTAACGTAATACAGTATTAATTTTACTATTACTGTATATGCTCATTTTTTATATAAAATTTATCACTGTCAAAGCACGTAGTTAGAATTTTAACTTTGACTGATTTACTCGATGATTGACTGAATTAAAACTCGATGAATGAATGCTTATTTCGATGATCGAATTATTTATTCATCGATTCCAATCTCTAATATTGGTAAGAAAGAAATTTACTACTAAATCTCCGGGTCAGTTTTTTAAAAAATTTCAAGTTTTTATATATTTTTTTTTTCTAAAAAAGATCATATGAAATTTTTTATAATTTAGCCGTCACTTTTAAAATTTTATGTTATGAAAACCAAGGAATTAACTTTGTGTGGCCTAATTTAAATTGTGTAAAGAATTTAAAAATAAACATAACTCGGATCTAATCCAATAAAAATCTCGATTTTGATCAGGACGTCTCTAAATATATTTTGTTTTGTAATATTGCATAAAAACAATTTAAAATTTAATATTTAAATAGTTAAGCACAGTTTAATGCAAGGTAGATATGGATATACAAACGTACATAAAAATTCTTGTTTATAAGTCAACTCTTGCTATATATCGTATGTAGGCTAAATATCGTGTAACTTTAAATCAAATCGACAGAAAACTTTTACGTATATACGTATACGTAGTACTATACAGAACGTTCAAATAAATATTTATAACACTCTACCTGATCTTTGACAAAAAAAAAATGAAATTTGATAAAGAATTATATCAAAGTCAAATACCTGAATGGTCTGGGTAAGAATAAAAACATTTACATACTATAGTTCAAGTCTTTATAAATGATATTTACTATATAATTTTTTTTTGTAAAATAGGTATTATATTTCATATAAGACTTTGAAAAGACTCATAAATAATGCATTAAAAAATGAGACTTTTAATGATAACATTACAAAAAGTAATGAAATAGAAGACATTATAAAGAGATATGAAGGTAAATTTTAGACATTAATTCTCATCTGTATAAATTTTTTTTTTCATGATGTTTTTAACTGTTTTTATAATATATTTAATATAAAGAATTTTTTACGGCTCTTGACTGCGAGATCAAAAAAGTCAATCACTTTTTTGAACATAAACATTCCAATATGAAAAATATCTATCGAAATTTAAATGAAAAAAATCGATGGCTTCATAATGATGTATTAAGTGATTCTTTAAACAATTCAAATGGAAATAGGAATTCGCTTTATAGAACCATTAATTCGAATTTTAATAAAGATGTGGCTTATTCAGAATTTTTATCTGAATTAGTTGAGACGAGAAATCAAATAAAAAATCTCTTACGTTATGCTAATCTAAATATCAAGGGCTTCAATAAAATTTTAAAAAAGTAAATACAGAAGTTCAAAAGTTTTTTTTTATTTAATAATAACTTTTTTTTTTTTAATTACTATCTTTTATAAAAGATTTGATAAGAAGCTGAAAAAGGAGGTCAAAGATGTCTATATAGAGAGAGAGGTTTGTGTCCCAAATATATGAAATATTTAAGCATATTCATAATATTTATATTACGAACTGTTGGTGTAAGAGATTGTGATATGTTATATTAGAATATTTGTTATCTTTTATTTCAATCAAATTAATAGAGATTTTTTGAAATTAGGTCAATTCACGTATTTCAAGTTCTACGTTGATTGATACTTTGGAAAAAATTGAACAGATGATTCGCGAGGTTCGCCATAAAGTTGCTGATAATGAAAAAGTTATTCATGATGGTATTATACCATACCCTGAACTTTGTTCAGAAGATACGATTTTAGAGAATGATGATGTGATCTCTCTTTGTAAAATTATCACATCCGTAGATCAAAGGGTATTTCATGATATATAAATATATATTTTTTTTGATCAATCTTTGAATTCATTATTTATTGATCTGCTCTATGTTTTTAGACTTTGATTTCATTGCTTTTCAAAGCATGCCATTACAAAGCCTTTAAATGTATAAAACAATTATTAGAGTCAGGTGTACACATTCTTGAAGATGATGATATTATTAATAAACGTTCCATAATACATAAGTTAGTGATTAATGGTGGAATTTTACCTCAAGGAAATGTCATAATTTCACCAGATATATCCTCTATTTCAGGAAATTCTTTTTTATCAAATGATTCAGAAAGAACATTATCCTTACCTGATGATTCAGAAATTATTTCTTGTATTCTTGAAAATCTTCCTTTAGAATATTCTCAAGTTTTATCTCATGATGTTTATGGTTTAAGTCCTTTACACTACGCATCAATTAATGGATGTGTAGAAATAACAAAAATATTATTGGAATATTTAATCAAAACTGAACAATTTCCATTAAACCCGAATTTTAATAATCATGCATGGTTCGATGCTGATGGATATACACCATTATTTCATGCTGTAGTACATGATCATGTTCAAGTCGTAGATTGCATCTTAGAAATTGGAAAAATTAATGATGTCGATCTGGCAAGTAATGGTATGTACTGAAAAAAAATTTTTTTATATTCATTTATAGGTTAATATTGTGATTAATGTTTAGTTAATTAAATTCTATAATTTTATAATTATATATATATGTTCTGTTGGTAAATAATTTTATATAGTTCGAAACATTTCTGATTCACAAACTCTTCTTACAATATCTTGTAAATTTGGTCATCATTTGACGACAGAATTATTGTTTAATCGCGGTGCTAAACCAAATGTCGTAAATGATGATGGTGAAACACCTTTGCACTTGGCATCTAGAGGTGGTTTTACCAACTGCGTAGAACTTTTAATAAATAATAATGCTGATAAAGAAATTAAACTAAAATATTATGGATGGACTCCATTATTTTTGGCAGGTAATACACTTGATCAATTCATTTCATATCAATTAATATTATTTAAAAGCTTATATACTAAAGAGTTTAATTTTAAAGTGATCGAGGGTCATGCAGAAACAGTTAAAGCATTGATAAAATCACGAGCTAATCTTAACATTAAGGATGAATTTGGCTGGACTCCATATATGCACGCTGTGTTTCGTGGACATTTTTCTTTTAAAGATGATTTACGTCCTTCAAGAGAACCTTTTCTTTCTTTACTAGTTGAGACCCCTCAAAACATTATATCTCAACAAGAAGTTTCCACAAAATCCAAATTTATGTCTGGTCAATACCTTCAAGATCAGTCATTAATATTTGTAACACTAGGTACAACAGATTCACGTCAGGATATAAGTTTTATTGAATTTGATGATACAATAAATCCTTCATCTACACCTGTTTCTATTGTTATTTGGGCTAAAGATGCTGCAGGAGATAAGGTTACCATTGACCTTCCTGTTAAAGATAAGACTTCAATTGACCCAATAATGTTTTTTGCAGAGCATGAAAATATAAACAATTTTACTTTAATATTTGATATAATCCCAACTTATGGGACTAAAAAACAATTGATAGGTCGTGCAACTGTTATGCTTTCATCAGTTGAAACATATTCTGGACCAAATCACACTTCTCTTATAGGATCTGTCACAATTCCTATAGTTGAACCATTAGGATTAGATGTTATTGGTCGGATAAGGTTTAGATATTTAGTTGCTGAACCTTTCAAGCATAAAAATTTAATTGTTAGTAATGAGCGTGCATGTTGGAAATCATTAAGTACTAAAGTAATTGGTCATCGTGGAATGGGTGCTACTGCAACAGTAAAAGGTTCACAGCCCTATGAGAATACTTTACAAAGTTTTATGACAGCAGCTAAGCATGGTGTAGAATATGTTGAGTTTGGTATGTTTATATATATATACATTTTTTAAATCGTTATTGAATATTTTGAAGGTTTCTGAGTAATTATTTTTTCTTTCAACAGATTGTCAGGTTACAAAAGATCTTGTACCAGTTATTTATCATGACTGGAACATCTCAGAAACAGGTTATGATATTCCGATATACTCCACAACTTTGAAGCAGTTTCGTAATTTAAAAAGCAATGGTATTGATGTAACCCCGACGCCTTTTACCACATTGGCTGAAGCATTTAAGGTAATGAAAATTTTTTTTTTTACTTAAGTTTGTATTTTAATTTCTTTGATTGTCATTTCTAATTTTCTTTAATAAAATTCTAAATTTCAAGAATGTGCCAACCAATGTTGGTTTTAATATTGAATTTAAATATCCAATGATTGATGAGGCAGAAGAATTTAAACTTCCAGGATTTTATACAGAATTAAATATTTTTTGTGATACCATACTCAAATGTATATATGAAAATGCACAAGGACGTAATATAATCTTTTCATCATTTCATCCGGAGATTTGTGCGATTATTAATTGTAAACAACCAACTTATCCTGTATTCTTCTTAACTGATTGTGGAGTTACACAAATGGCCGATGCCAGATGTAATTCTGTACAAGCAGCAATTAGATTTGCTAAATTTATTGGTTTATCAGGTCTTGTTACTAATTGTGGACCTATTATCGAAGCTCCTGGACTAGTTAAAGTTATTAGGGGATCTGGATTAAATCTTTTTACATATGGTTCATTAAATAATAATGTTGCGAACACACAATTACAAAAAAGAGCTGGTGTAGATGCTGTTATTGTGGTAATTTATAATTTAATATTTTTATATTAAAGTATTTAAACAAAGTTATCGTTATCAAAAAATATTAATATATATATTTTTTATAGGATTCTGTATTAGAAGTTAGGGAAGGGTTTAACGCGGTATAATTTTAGCGATGTCAAACTATATTTTGTTATTTTAAAAAGTTAAAACTAAAATAATTTTTGATTTAGCAATTTTGAATATTAAAATTCATGCAAAATATAATAATTTTTGCATTATAAAATCAAAAATATAAATTATATGAAACAATTAATTGTATATAATGTATCATACGAATCAATTACCCCCCTTCCATATATTTATTGAGGATTGATTAATTTATTTTTGGGATTTTGTTTGTTAGGGGTTTGATCCAAACTGTGCAATTTATACTTCCTACGCTAACCATATACTGTATGAAAATAATTTTGTAAAGTACTCTGGGTTTTTTGGTCCATGCTACACGGTATGTATTAACTTTACATATACCGTAATTATTATAATATTGTATTATATATTGTATCATAAATGTTATGCCAATACAATTATTTATATTATATTGTACTGTAATTAATATTTAAACCACTATCATTGTTATCGTTATATACAATTTATATCATTTTATAAATCTAATTATAAATTCCATTCATCGTTCATTTCAAATTCGATTTACTAAATCTTCCATATGTATATTTCCATTAATTGTTTCCGAAATTATGACGTATTATTGTTAACTTAATCATCTAATGTTTCTAATGATAAAACTCCAAGATTTTGGACAATAATAACAAGATATTATACGAGAACTAATATTATTACTGGTTGTATAATACTCACAAATTTTTTTTTTTCTTGGTCGACCAAATATATTTTACGCGTACGATTAATTATTGAGTCATGTTAAAAAACAAATTTAAAAATGATTTCTTAAATTCGAATTCAGAAAATCGTGATAGTTATTTGTAGGGAATGGACAAGTTTTGTCCGTCCTGGTCATAATAGACCGGTCCATTAATATTTTCAGCTTATATCAGTCCAAGTCACGGTCCCAAAAATTGTTCTTAGTTACTTAAACCTTTAATCATCTTATTGGATAGCGGAGAGAATTGAATATGACGATAATCAATTATTTAATATAATTGGCAATTTTTAACTATTAATAAATACTGATTCGTACTGGTCTCAGGACCAGGGGACCAAATAACCACGAGACCGGTTAAAGACTAATCCTTATTCGGTCTTTCAAAAAAACTTGGACTTGACAACTATCTTTTTTTATCATAGAGTTACTCTGATTGGCTGAAATTTAAAATCCGCATTTCAACTAATTTCGACTAATCGAAATGATTGAGCAAAATCTCTCGATCGATAGTAAATCACATTGATGAGAACAACCTTAATCATATTTTAGAATTTATTATACAAAATTTAATTAACGATATATTGTAATTTTTACACTGACATCGCTATAATTCATACCATACCGATAGTTTTAATTAATATAGTTGAAATTTATTTTTTTAAAATTTCAAACATTTTTCTGTGGACACTGAATTAGTTTTTGTATACTGTAACTTAAATCGTATAAAATGTATAAAATTTGAAATGAAAATTTATAATATGATTTTAAAAAATATATACAATATTGTAACATAAAAATTCATGAAACTTATTATACTTTCTTGGTTAGATTTTGAATTTATTAAAGTTTTTTTTTTAGTAACACAGTAGTTAATATTGAAATTAATGTAATTATTAATAATGTGTGCCAATTAGTTATACATATTTTCAAGTTATAGACTATTATAATAATCTTGTATTATTAAAAAATCTGTTTTTTTTTTACACATAATTGTCAATTTTCAGTAAAGAACTTTTTTACTCTTTTTTTTTCAAATAGCTCAAATAAATGACTTGTTAAGTAATATAACAACAACGGATTTTTGTGTTACAGATACGTGAATTTTATAAAGTATATTTAAATGATTTTTTGAATTTACTTTTGATAAAGTTAGTTTTTCATAATAGTCTGAAAATGTGACCATTAATATTACATACTATTGTCATGAGTTTCTAACTTAGTCATAGCAGATAGTCACTTTAGATGGATCGCGAAAAATACAATCAGTTTCATGCAATCAAAGGTCAAATTCTAAAATCTAGTAATATTAGGTAGAAAAAAGTTAATTTTGTACTAATAAAATAGAATTTTGACTAAAGATATTAAGAAGTTTAAAAATATTTTTAATAAAACTTTTTCAATATCCAAGAGGTATATAATACATACCTTTCTCTTTACATTTACATTCAATTTTAAAAATGACAACTTTTATCTTAGCTACAAATTCTAGCGAATATGAGAAAGTTAAATCCAACTTTTCTTCAAGAATGAATTCACAAATGCATTCAATACATTCAATAATTCGTGTAGAAATGCCGCAACATATTGTTAATAATCATGAAAAATATAAAAAAAATAATCCAAACCTTCAATTTAGACAATTTTTTCATGGAACTAAACACGCTTGTTCCATAAAAAATTTAAATACTTTATGCAATAATTCAACTTGTTTTGTTTGTAGTATAATTCGTACAGGATTTAAATTGAATAATAGTGAGTAATTCATGATTTATGAATTTCTAATTAAAATTAAAATATTAATATATATATTTTTAAATAATAGGTCACGTCTGGTTTTCATCAGAAGCATCCTATTCACATACTTTTACAAGGATTGGCAATGATTCGTCAAGGGCAATGTTTCTAGTTGATGTTGTTGGAGCATCCCCCTCCTCAGGCAGCGAGTTTCATGTTGCTAATGCAGAGGTTTGTTTATTCCTTTACTATTTAAGTGAAATTGAATTGTATAATTGATAATAATTAATGTTTATGATACAGGCCATTATACCTCGATACCTAATTGTTTATGGTTAAATTCTCATTTTGTTTTTTTTTTTTGCTTTTAAATTATATATTATTGTATTTTGAAATCTTTTATTAACGTTAGCTTAATAAATATTAATTGTTGTTTGTTTGAAACAATCTTAACTTTTTTAAGTTTTCAAAACTAGTAATATCAGAAATTATCGCGATATTTAATGTCTTTATCATGTTTAAGTTTAAAAATATATTTCAAAAGTTAATAAACAATACGTTTTTCATACCTACGTATAACTAAAAAACAAAAAAAAAAATTAGATATATGATATTTTATGTAAGTTATGCATACGAAAAAGTAAATGATATTTTGGTTGGAATTGAATATGATATATTAAATTGGTTGTAATCGTCAATGGTTCTAAATTAAAGCTTTTATCATAAATTTAATATGACTTATTATTAGTCTGGGGATAAGCAAAGGATAAGTAATAGTTATATACTGGGTGTCTTGGGTATAAGCGGAATTTCATTCCGCTTATAAACAAAGAACCCAGTGTATAACTGATTTATGCCCTGCGATCTTGATATAGTGACCAGGGTATAATATGGATTATCCCCTGGCCAACCTCATCTACATGATGTACTTATTCCTACTGATAAACGTCATCAACTTATTTTACTGGCTTATGTCATATCTAGAAAATTGGTAATGGTTATATCCCAGACAGTTGGAACTCAAATTCTATTATAAATAAAAGATACAATTAGGGATGGTAAACAATCGCTTTTTAATGTTTTTTATGTTTTTAAACCTGATTTAATAAAATGTTTTAAATCATTGTTGCTGATGGCTGAAACCCAAATTACTGCACCTGATTGGATAATTTTAATTTCAGTATTGCCGTGATATTTAAATAATATTATAATATTAGTGAATAATTATGTATTATCAGGTTGTTTATTATTTTTTATTTTAGTATTAAAAATTTTAATTGCAAATGAAAGCCATATGAAGGTGATACTAATCATAATTTTCGATGAAAATGAGATTTATTTATTGTTGATATTTTTATTTCTTTAATCAAATATGTGAATACCCTTGTTTCAATTTATATTATTTGGCAAAAAAGCAATATTTATTAAAATTTTACAATAATAAATTTATTACTATTGTTTTTATGCATCTTATATCTAGGGATGGTAATTGGTTTGAGGCAAACTGGCTAGTCATATTTTAAACTGAAACAAAATTAAGATAACTTAAACAAGTTTAAGCTTCAGTTTAATTAGGTTAATTGTTTAATATTATGCATATATATGCATACAATTACAACAATTAAAAATAACAATGATAATGTTAAAATTAATTAATTTTAGCTGTTAGTATAAAAATACTAATACTAAAAGTAATAATGATAAAGAAATTAGCATTTGAGTAATTCACAAAATAGAAAGCTTTACTAATAGTTACAGATAATTACTTGATAATTATCTCAAGTTTATATAAATTAATTAATATAAGCTGTTAGTATTAAAATTTTTTTTTTTTTTTTTTTTTTTCAGCAGTCATGCCATGACTTTTTGATTTATTAAGAAGGTTAAAGTATAAATACATATATTCTTTACTATTCTCTAAGCTATATAATGCTAATTAATCTTAAAAGTGTGACTAACCTAGTTATCATTTAAGACACCTATGTTCAACCTGCTATAACAAAATTTTGCTTCCTTTTGGAGTTCTTCTTTTTCCCAAAAAAAGATACCCCAAAGTCACTAGCTAGGATTTGTAGCCTGTCATAACTGTCTTAGTACATTAACTAGGATTTTATGTATCCTGTACAAATCCAGATTTCTATCTCATTGAATGCTATTTTTTGTGCTGAGAGATTAGTTTCTTTTTTTTTAATTATCTGTTCTGTATATGTTAATATACTTTTTTCTGTTTTCTGTTTTGTTTTATTTCTTTTTCTCTTTTTTGAAATTCCTTTTTTTTTTTCCCAAGTTATAATTTCTTTGCATCTGGCTTTCCATATTTTTTGGCAGAAGCTCTCTATCTACTCTTCGAGGTATGTTTCTAGTATCAGTTTAGATCCTCTTTTTGTAATCCCTATCGAGAGGAGTTTTCTGATAAGTTCTTTTTGTATAAACCCTCTTGAAGTTTCTTGTCTTTGGGAGTAAGTTTTTGTAGGTTCTGTAGGAAAAAGGAGTTTGCTGATTTTTCTTTTTTAGGTTTCGGATATTTCAAGCTTTCGAAAAGGTTTCTCTAGTTTATCTAGGACTTCCTTTTCTAATTCTTTCGATTTCTCTTTATCTGAATTACAGATTAGTAAATGTTCGAAAGTTTCTTCTTCATCTTGGCATCTAGAACAAATAATGTTTTCATATAAGTCAGGACGAAATAAGTGTCTTTTCTCTAACGTTGGGAGTAGTCTGTTTATGCACTTTGTAGTAAAAATCCATTTGCTATTCTCTTCTAAGCTATTTCCTTACTTCTTTCGAAGCCTATTTACTAGTCTATTAAATGTGCACCAACTCATATTATCCTTCCTGTTTCTATGTATTCTATCCTTTCCTCCTCTTATAAATACCTATTCAGATTTGACTATACTACTATTTAATTTCTTA